TGAACAAATACAAATGTGTACATATTAGAACCTTCAGATGTTGTTCAATCGACTAACTTACTAATTATATCAATATAAAATCTAGATAGATAGATAGATAATTTCTTGGTGAATTAAAATAGGCGGATAAATATTCTTGTCAATACCATATATTTGCTTTTAAATAATAATTCGATATGCGAATTGATCTTGGCATTCAAGCTAATGCTGTTGCGTACACACACAGGAAAACACTAGCAAATATACGAGTCAATATTAATAGAATCTTGGTAAATCACATATGAAAAAGAAAATTCTTAAAGTCTAATTCTTATAACAATAAATTCCAAATGCATATCCCGTTTCTAATCGCTTTTAATATTTCTAGTTATGATAAATTACACTATTTACATTATTCACTGTGTCTTGTGTCTTTCAGGACATCTGTGTATGAATTTCTTGAACTTATAAACCTAATGTCTTCAGCAACACATTTTACCAGTGCTCATATTGCAATTTTTGCTGTTACCTTTGCATTTTTTTTAGATCCAGTGAAAGGACCCAAAGAGTGCAATACGTGGTTAAGGGGGTGGAGAACTTGCAGGGGGGGATTAACAGGGGATAACTGATAACTAATATCCATTAGACATGGCGCGTGGAACTAGAAGTGTCTGCACCAGTAAGCGAACTAAAGGGTTCAGTTCGACATTCCAATCACCTGAAGAAGGCCGGAGTGTATAATGGCCGAAACGTTGTAAAAATCATGGCGACAAAGATGAGGACCATAGTGTGATTAAGGTAAATAGTGTACATGATACCTCATCTAAGAAATATAGACATAACTGAAAGACGGAAACGTTGTGATAAATATGGCGACAAAGGTGAAGACAATAGTCCGAATAATGTAAATAGTGTGCATAATACCTCATCTCAGAAATATAGCTTATCTCAGAAATATAGACAGGGCCTTAACGTTATGATAAATATGGCAACAAAGATGAGGACAATAGTCCGAATAACATAAATAGTGTACATAATACCTCATCTCAGAAATATAGACAGATACTGAGGGGCTGGATTATGATAAATGAAATAAGATAATAATATTGAACACGTACACACACACACACACACACACACACATATATATATATATATATATATCCTAGTGTATGATGTTTGGTGTATACGGAATAAATTCCAATCACCAACAATTACTATTCTTAAAAGAGTGCTCAATACAGAGTAGAGCGAATATAATTATTTATTTAAAAATTATAACATAAATATGTTATGAAATCACTACAAAAATGGCCATTTTGTTTCAGTACCTTTGGTGTCTTATCAAGTCATGATGTTGAATGTTGATTGTAGAATGAATGTTTTAAAAGGTTCAAATCAACTAACCACCCCTCTTAAGGGGAAACGCTGTCACATGAGCTGAAATGACCAATCAAAATACAAATATACGAGAAGTCAAAAAACTTGACAACGTAGTAAGGTTATAATAATTATTAAATTCTTTACAGTTGGGTTTATACGAAAATAGAATTTATTCTAACTAATAAGTATTAAATTGTACGATAAAATTTGAAATTAAAATTAAAAACTACCCATTTTAAAAAAAGTAAAGTTAATCTATATAAATTTTAAAATTATTGAGGAAAAAAGAAAAATATAAGTTATTTTGTTCATTTTGTTTCTATTGAAATTACGTTGGAATAAACGTTAAAATCGACTGCCTTTAAATTATGACAAAATAGATACAAGTGTATACATTGGATTATGACATCTTGCGAAAAACAATACAAATACAATCAGATTATAATATATAAGCACGCAGACATATTTAGCTATATACACACACAAAAATTGACTAGACAGGAAATATTTGCACGACCTTTTACAATAAAAAATATTTAAACCACACACATACACAATGAAATGTGCATGCATTTTACTATACCCAGACACCGAAAAAGATACGTACATATACCCACATACATTGACATAGACACTCTGATATAACACTTAAGAAATATTAAAGATTGAACGTGTTATTAAACGAATTCTAACCCCATATTTAAATATAACTTATTACGTGCCAATAACGAATAAGAGGATATTAAAATAGATATATACGTATAAAAATAACACGAAAATTTCAAGCACACATATACGCCTAATTAAACATTAGGTGAAAGAAAAAAAATAAAATAAAAACTACCTACAAATATATGTGTACAGTGTACAACCATTCATCACGACAGACAGAAGTGCTGAAAAGCCAACCTATAGACAAACATATAGACACATATATCTCTCTTGCGGCCTCAGCCGAGATTTAACTCACCAATACTTTGATTGGTGTAGTTCATAATCTTGTCAAATAGCTGAATTCTTGATGCTTCCCTCGGGCTATCAAGGGTGTTTTTATCGTGACACCATCACTAAAGGGATTGCCAACCAAGGCTCAGAGAGACTCCATTCACCCTCCTCTAAGAGCAGGTTTTGAATTCAGAGTTTTCCTTCTCCTAGACCAGTTGCCATCCAAGGCTATAGAACCCAGTCTGTCCTGATATTTACCCATAGCTGGAGGGAGAAGAAAGAGGATTCACACCTTTCCCAAGGGTGTTAGCGCGTAAGGGAATGTAATCGATTCGACTGGAATTCGAACTCGGCTCGATTTTTCTGAAAATATACATGTATGGGTATTTATATATTTTGCATATGTCTGTATATTTTCCGCAAATATTATATATATATATATATATATATATATATATATATATATATATATATATATATATATAAAAAAGAGCGATAGAGAGAGAAAGAGATGTAAATATCCTTTAGTATATAATCCAAGGGAATCCTAATAATATAATACAGTGAACTGCTTCCCAAAGAGATCTCTATCTATTTATAACATACACAGTATATTAAAACTAATGCGTCTATATATAGATGAGGTATTGTGTACACTATTTACATTATTCGGACTATTGTCCTCATCTTTGTTGCCATATTTATTACAACGTTTCGGCCCTTCAGTATCTGTCTATATTTCTGAGATGAGGTATTATGTACACTATTTACATTATTCAGACGATTGTCTTCATCTTTGTTGCCATATTTATTATAACGTTTCGGCCTTTCAGTATCTGTCTATATTTCTGAGATGAGGTATTATGTACACTATTTACATTATTCGGACTATTTTCTTCATCTCTGTTGCCATATTTATTACAACGTTTCGGCCCTTCAGTATATGTCTATATTTCTGAGATGAGGTATTATGTACACGATTTACATTATTCGGACTATTTTCTTCATCTCTGTTGCCATATTTATTACAACGTTTCGGCCCTTCAGTATATGTCTATATTTCTGAGATGAGGTATTATGTACACTATTTACATTATTCGGACTATTTTCTTCATCTCTGTTGCCATATTTATTACAACGTTTCGGTCATCAGTATCTGTCTATATTTCTGAGATGAGGTATTATGTACACTATTTACATTATTCGGACTATTTTCTTCATCTCTGTTGCCATATTTATTACAACGTTTCGGCCCTTCAGTATATGTCTATATTTCTGAGATGAGCTATTATGTACACTATTTACATTATTCGGACTATTGTCTTCATCATTGTTGCCATATTTATTACAACGTTTCGGCCCTTCAGTATATGTCTATATTTCTGAGATGAGGTATTATGTACACTATTTACATTATTCGGACTATTTTCTTCATCTTTGTTGCCATATTTATTACAACGTTTCGGCCCTTCAGTATATGTCTATATTTCTGAGATGAGGTATTATGTACACTATTTACATTATTCGGACTATTTTCTTCATCTCTGTTGCCATATTTATTACAACGTTTCGGCCCTTCAGTATCTGTCTATATTTCTGAGATGAGGTATTATGTACACTATTTACATTATTCGGACTATTGTCTTCATCTTTGTTGCCATATTTATTACAACGTTTCGGCCCTTTAGTATCTGTCTATATTTCTGAGATGAGGTATTATGTACACTATTTACATTATTCGGACTATTTTCTTCATCTCTGTTGCCATATTTCTTACAACGTTTCGGCCCTTCAGTATCTGTCTATATTTCTGAGATGAGGTATTATGTACATTATTTATATTATTCGGACTATCGTTCTCATCTTTGTCGCCATATTTATTACAACGTTTCGGCCGTTGTACGCTCCTGCCTTCTTCATGTGGTTGGAATGTCGAACTGAACCCTTTATTTCGATTACTGAAACAGACTATTCTAGTTCCACGTGCCATGTTTAATGGATGTCAGTTGTCAGTTATCTTCTTTTAATTTCCCTCTGAAAGTTCTGCACTACCTTAACCAGGTATTGAACTCATACTCTTTGAGTCCTGTCACAGGATATAATTAACACCTTCATCCACTGAGCCATGTGGTTCAACATTCCAACCACCTGAAGAAGGCCGGAGCGTACAACGGCCAAAACGTTGTAATAAATATGTCGACATGATGTGGATAATAATCTGAATAATGTAAGTAGAATAAAACTAATCCACTGTAATCATCATATCACCTTACAAAATTTACTGGTAAAGAATTTCAAACCGATCAAGAAAAAAATATCTATTTGTATATAGATATATTTAGGCAGCTTCATTCAAACACTTTTGGTTAAATAATTCAGACGTATTATGACTATTTAAGATAGTTTTTTTCATTTCAATTCCCAGAATTAATTTATTGGTGTCTGTAAATTCTGATCAAGAAAAATTCCAAAATTTTCTTTGAAATAATTTTTATTTTCCCAAGGTCATTCAATTTCCTCTTATACCATCTTCAGTAGCTGCATATCTATGGATGTGTTAACACCGTAAATTGAAAATATGTTTCACCATTATTCAAGGGAGGTGACTTATGTTTTTTTTTAAAGTGTTTTAATTTAGTACTTTTTATAGAACACTTTGATGCTACAAACATTTAAGGACATTGTTGCTATACTAGCCTTTCTGCCTAGAGCAATTATTTCAATTATTATTTTTCATCCAGAACAGTAAATTGTTCAATAAGGGATCTTATTTCTTATTCTCAGCTAATTTGTGTCTTCGAATTTTTCTTCCTCTTTCTGATAAAACCCAATCTCGACAAAGCGTCTACATGCGAAATCGTGTTGCCTTTCACGTACTAAATATAAAAGTCAAACTTCATTAACATTAAGGCTCAGCTTAGAATTCTACAAGTCGTTACCTCAAGAAGATCCTAGTTGGGATTAAATACGAATTCTAAAGGTCCATGATCGGACCTTAGTAGGAATTTCTTTTCAATCAAAAACTGATGAACTCTGTTTGCCGTCCATATTCTGGCCAACGCATCTGTCTCAATGTTTGAATAGATCTATTCTGATTTTTGACAATTTTCTCAAAAGATACATAATATTGTGACCATCTTGAACAAATATTTCCTTTCTAGGGTCGAATATTTTAACATTGGCTTCTTTGCCAGGGCAGCTTTTAACTTTCCAAATGCTGCTTGTGGTTCTTTTGTTCAAATAGATTCTACATTCTTTTTTCTTAAAGCAACAAAAGGTCCTGTCATTCAGATTATCGCCTTACATATCGTCTGTAGAAATTTACAAGTCCTAAGAAAGATTCCAATACTTTCTTGTTCTTGTGTACTTCAACTTTTAACGATTGCTCCGAAGATATGCCTTCGATAGAAATGGAATATCCCCAAAATGATATTTATTGTTATGCATACATTGTGTTCGTTAATTGTTGATCCAGCATTTTTTTAACTTATTCAAAACATTACTGGTTTTCCATTTTAGTTTTTCCTCGTTAATAGCAGCAACACAAATTTCATCTTAGTAGCATATTGCATTTTTATATCACTTCCTATAACATGCTCTTTAGCACTCTGAAAAATCTCACTTTCGGTTTAATTCCATATGGCATTCTTTTCTATCTTAACAGGAATATTCGCATGTTTATTCTTGTCACATCTTTGAATTCTCCGTCAGTAGGTATTTGATGTTATTCCGATTTAGACCAATTTTAGAAAATGTTTTCATACAGGCAAAGGAGTTCCAATTCCATTCTACATTGGTGTGGGGTAGAATATGAGTCTAGAGATATTTTGTGGTTCATGTCTATTTTGTAGACACCACATATGCGAAAATCCCCATCCTATTTTCTTAAAATTACTAATGGGAATGCCAATTTGCTCCCTCTTAACGGAATTTGTTTCTGTAACTTTTTTTAGTTTTTTCCATAACTATTAGTAGTAGATAGACTGACAGCTTTTCGTGTTTCAAAACATGAGGGCAAGACATTTTCCTTTAGTCTTAAATTTGCTTCATCGTTTAAAATTCAAGATTCTTCTAGCTTGAATTTATTTACTAATTTTGTCGAATTTATGTTTAATACCTCATTTCATATTAGACGATGATTCTTTTCACAGTTTTACACGATAATTGTTAATACATCAAACATATTTTTACCTCCACTTCGGCTTGAAAATAGCTTAACATTTTTATCACGAGTCCTTTGAACATATACATTTGGACAAGGGTTTTTTTTTTAATCTGCGTTTTTCTAATTTCTCCAAGAAATTTCTGAGTATCATCGTCAAGTCACTTCTCGTGTCTAGTTGCATGCCAAATAAAACATTATTGATTCAAATTATTAATAACACTATTTCATTTTTTTTTCTTTTCAGTGTACAGACGTCCATACACATTTCGTTTTCATTTTGTTGCAGCGTCTCTATGTTTTTTTTTTCTTTTCAGATTTATACTTCCGTTTAAATTGATTCATTTTGAAACACTTTTCACATTTTTTTATATGCTGGACATTTTTGTTTTCCTCTTGAATATCGATATCCAAAAAAGTACACATATTTTTTTTTTATCTTCTTTTTTTTTACTTTTTTATTTCTTCTTTTGGATCCATAACTTTTCTTCGATTCAATTTTCTAATTAATTCTCGTTGATGAACTGGTTTAGTCACAACTTTCCCCGTTGTAAATGCATAGTGCCATTTGCTGTTAGTCCTCAATTTTGAAAGCTGTTTACCAATTTCATTTTTATTATATACTCTTTGGTTTTTCGACACCAATTAAACAAATTCGCAATATTTAGCAGAACATATTTATTAACTGGTTCATACATTTTTTGAGGAATATTCATAAACTTAGCTCTCTCTCTCTCTCTCTCTCTCTCTCTCTCTCTCTCTCTCTCTCTGTATTCCTTAGTTGTATTTTTTTCTTGGTTAATATATTTTCACTACTAGTTGTCTGTAGTGAAAGAGATAATCAGCTACCTCGAAAAAGAGTTCGTGTTTTGGGTGCGATCTGCCGAAAAATAATTACCAAAAAGTAGTTAGCAAAAATCTACTTTAAGGACCAGAATCTATGCTAATGTTCTTCTCTCCCCTGAATGGCGTGACCAATCAGAAAGCTTATGTGAGTGATTAGATTTTCTGAGCCTGGTGGACGAACATGCGTTTTTGCTGGTGAGAAATGAAGGTTGGAAGTGTGACTCCCTTTTGTCGTTTCTACGTTGCCTGTTACGACGCGCTACCATTTGAACTGTGATTTGGTTACAAGTGTTGCAGTCGAGAGACAGAATAAATCTATTGCAAGCGTTTGTTGCCACTATAAGTTGACAGTTGTTTTTCTTCTTTTTTATTTTCTTTACAACTACATTGACTTATAACATTAAACGACAGTTTCTCCAACTTTCCTGGGTGTGTAATTGTTGATCATTTTTAATGGCCTCACAACGAGCAGTTGCAAAGAAGAAATAAGTTATTTGGTTTTCTCCTCCGACTTTTTTGAAATCCTCCAATTTTTTTTTTTTTTGTTATAGCTTTAGCTTCTAGTATCCTAAACCACACTTGTAAGTATTTTTAATAATCCAGTGATAATTGTAGTTTCAGTTCTTTAGAAATCAGCGACGCCATTGTAGTGTAGTGTTATTGACTCTCAGGAAGTAGTATGTACTCAACGACCACATGGGTAATAGCTGTAGCTATTTATAGTCTTTGTGACTTCATATTTCAATGAGTTACCTTAAATGCATTATTGGAAAAGGAAGATAAAAATTACCAGCAATACATTTTTGAAAAAAAAAATGACCAAAGCATCCAAAAATTAAATTTCGGCATTCAATGACCCATAAGGTGTTGATATGCCGTTAAAAAATCCAAATCAAATTCTTCTGCTGTTAAATATATTCTGTTTCTTGACCCCATCAAATAGAGATTTTCCGGCCATTCCGTTCTAGATCCATAAATTTTATCCTTAAAAATTACCAGACACATAACTATCGTTTTTTTTCATTTTTCTGAGGTTTGCTGTTTCAATCAAACATTTAATATCATTGCTCCTTGCTCATACGCGTAGAGAGAGGTAAACTCCATGGGGCTATACAGCAAAGATAAGGGGAAACCCTACATTTAAAAAATCAATATTGTAGCGATTGGGAAAGTATCTTGCAAGGACTCTGTTTCGCAAAGGATTAGCTCTTGGGATGAAGCTGTGAGAATGGATCTTCTTCTTAACTAATGGAATACGAATGGAATGGGGATGGTTCACATTTGTTTAAGTAGTATGACGGGCATGATGACAACATAATTTTAACACACCACCAATCTATCCTTTTTTTTTTTTTTTTTTTTTTTTTTTTTTTTTTTTTTTTGAGCGTTCCGCCCCAAGCAAGGCGAGAAGCCATTAGGACTCAAGGGTTACAGAAAATTTGGAGCAAGATCAGATAGGAGTGATAGAGGAAAAGATAAGGAGAAGGATAGTGGATAGATGAAGGCAACTGGAGATGTCGATTGACATTACATTTAAATAGCTGGAGATTAAAGCTCTCAGGGAAAATGGAATAAGGAAGGGAGTTCGACAGGCAAGAGGTGCGAGACATAAAGCTATTAGAGTAGAAGAGACGACTACATTTAGGAGTTTCAACAGTGAAAGGGTGAGAGCGGGATGCCAGCCTCGTAGGGCGCTTGAACTCATGAAGTCTGTGAACCAGCGAATGCAGCTCCTCGAAGCAATTCCCCTGAAAGTATTTGTAAAAAAGACAGAGAGAGGCGACGGCGCGTCTGTGAGAAAGTGACTGTAGACGAGATGCCAGAACAGGGCCAACTATATTGCATATCCGCCTCTGGAGCCTATCAAGAACACCGAGGCAAACAGAAGGGGCTCCAGACCATATATGGCAGCAATACTCCATGCAAGCGCGAACAGTTGATTTGTAGATCTGAAGGATCGATTCCGGGGAGAAAAATTACTGACGCGGCACAGGGAGCCAAATTTCCTTGCGGTGGACGAAGCATTTGACTCAATGTGTTTGTCCCATCTCAGGTCAGCAGTCAACGTGAGACCGAGCGGCTGCAGAGAGGTGCTCTTTAGAAGTTGAGTACGTTGTAATATTAGAAAAAATGAACTGAAGTTAATGACCAAAAAGAAAAAAAATCCACATTGTCGCTATCTAGTATTTTAAACAAAGGATTTGCAAAAATCTCAATCGTGAACTGTGTGCGAAAATTCTATGTATTTATTGACGTCGTCCTTGATTCTTACAAAAAATATTACTATTATTCGACAGATCATAAAAAGAACGTCTTCGAAAGAAACATTGAAATTATAACAAAACAAGCCTTTATATTGTAAAAGACTTGTTCTGATCTTTGGTACGGAGATTTATGATCTTAAGCGCGGTACTAGATTGGCGGTAAGGTCTCATCATTTTACAGTTGAATTGGTTCGATATAACCTTAAGTTCCTTGGTAACAGTTTCTTTTCATCCGGTTCTTTACTTTTCAGTCACTTTTGATCTTCACAAATGTAAATGCAATACCATTCGTTATCTACTGTATTCCTGGTTACTCTTCCATTGTTCTCAGGCCATATTTTTTTTTACATTTTTTCTTATTCTTTTTACAAGCAGTGACCACTTGTACTTTGTTCTCTTGCATCAGGTGAAATGATTTTAAAAAAATAGCCAAGACGTAAACAACAGTAATTTTAACAGAATTTTTTTTTTTTTTATTTCAGGAATATTTCAATATTTGTAAGAATTTGGCTAATTTAATTCCCTCCCTCCAGAAAAAATGCTGTTTGACTTCTTGTTGATCAGTTAATTTCCATCGATAATTTTCGGTTGGCAAAAGTTGATTTCGCTATTTGTAAAGACAGGAATGTCTTTTCAAGCATATGAAACGTTTAAAAAGATCTATCTATTTGGAGAAAATCGTTTTCACTAGATTGCCAACGCTTTTATCCACTGGAATATGTGACTTGATCCAAAGACTTGTGAGTTCAATACCTGTCCACAGCAGAGGTGAACAAATAACTTGGGGAAAGGAGTTAAAGGAATATAACTGAATCCGAGATAACCAGAAGAAGTCATGCTATGTATAATCTACCCCGGTGGATGAAATATACGGTTCTGTTCAAAATTCAAATCACCTGAATAAGTCAAGAGTGAACAACGACCGAAAGGTTGTGAATATGATACAAAATGATGACAACAATAGTCTGAACAATGTAAATTCATTGAAAAACTTCAAGAAAATTATGCCTAAATTTTTGAGATGTGATATTTACCTGTACACACAATTTACAAAAAGAAAAAAGACACATGACCCAATGGATAAAAAAGTGACATGAACCATATATATATATATATGATATGAGTTCAAAACCTGGCCTCAGCAGAGAAAACAAATACTTGGAGAGTTGATTAACTGAAACTGAGATATCCAAAAAAGGAGGGGCATGCCTTGTGGAATTAGAACAAACTACTCCGGTGGATTAAATAAAGGGTTTGTTTCGAAATTCCAACGTATATCCTGAAGAAGGTCGGAGCGTGCAATGGCGGAAACGTCGTGAATATGCCAATAAAAAAGAGAACAACAGCTAGAACAATATAATTAATGTAAATCATTACAATACCTCATCTTAGGAATATAGACAGATGCTGAAGAAGCCCGGAGCGAACAACGACCGAAACGTCGTGAATATGGCAATTCAGATGGAGACATCTGTCAGAACAATGAAAATAGGGTAAATAAGAACGTTAAAGATAAAAAAAAACAAAACAAAATTATATAAGAAAAAAATAAAAACTGTTTCTAGATAACCTATGCGTAAATATTTCTGTCGATAATGTGTCCGCTTTTTAAAACTTTTCCCAAATAAACTTGAAAACATTTAAATGACAATGAATATTAAAAGAAAATCTCAAAGCGGGAGATACATACACATTCAATATATAAAAATGAATCCATTAATTTTCTTTAACTTCGCATCATATTTGTGGAAAGAAGATGTCACGAAAGATATGCAAAATTACGAGAAAATATCAACACGTTTTGTGTTGATGATAAAGTTGCCACCAGCGATGGATATATAGATAAATTTTTCAAATGGGGAAATATGTTACGATGGTTCTTGAAAATAGAAGAAAATCTTTTGGATTTTACCATTCTTTGAGTAGAGTTATAAAAATACATTTAGAGATAATGTCATGATAATTTTTTTTATTATTATTTTCATTGAAAAAAAACAACACTGCTACCGCTGATACTTTGTGATATAAACGTATTTATTTCAGCTTAGTACAAGACATTTTATCCTGTTAGATTGTGGGAGTACTTTTAATTTGAATATAGAATCGGATATAGTCAATGAAACATCAAAAACATATATCGTTCCGGAAGAAAAAAAAAATTCTCTTAAATTTGATTTGAGTAAAGTACGATGGATGAAAGAAAATAATTCACAATTGCTGGTTACACACCCATGGTTTTAGCACTTACTTTGTCCTGTTATGGGCCCCTCGGCGTGGTGTACATCTAAGCTACACTTAAAAAAATGACCATTGAGCATCTCAATTTGCTAGCTAGTCTTGCTCGGACAACTACGACAGAGCAGTGAGTTCGATTCTAACTGCGTGTTCCATACTTCCGGTCTTATGCCACATCTAAGCTACGCTTAGAAAATAACCAATGGTCATCTCGACGTGGTGTAATGGTTAACAAGCTTGTCTCGCTAGAACAATTACGACTGAGCAGTTAGTTCGATCCTAATTGTGCGCCCCATGATTTCGGCCTTGTGCCACATCTAAGCTAGGCTTAGAAAATCAACTTCGTCTGTCCTGTTATTTACTCATATATCTGTGGGTGGAAGAGAAAGATTCATACCTTTCCGAAGGGTATTTGCATAAAAGTAAATGTAAACAACATAACTGGAATGCAAATACGTCTCACCAATTCCTCACTCCAAATCTCTGTATATTATTCAATCTTGCCTCCTCGGGTTTTGAATATAAGACATTAATAGTGTCTGCGTTTTGAATATAAGACATTAATAGTGTCTGCGTTTTGAATATGACATTTATAGTTTCTGCATTCTGAATATAAGACATTAATAGTGTCCGAGTTTTGAATATAAGACTTTAATAGTGTCTGAGTTTTGAATATAAGAGACATTAATAGTGTCTGAGTTTTGAATATAAGACATTAACAGTATCTGCATTTTGTATATAAGACATTAATAGTGTTTGCGTTTTGAACATAAGTCATTAATGTAGAATAACAATAATAAACAGCACTTACCGGTGTAAAGGTCCCAGCTAGCGTCCAGCTGGCAGACAAAAATAAAGCAGGTTGTAACTTAATACAAACCCTGCAAACTAACAGCTGAATCAAGCTGGTATTTATATAGAAATACCTCCACTCAGGTACCAGCAGCCAATCACAGCCCAAGCAATGGACTATCCCACTTTAGCACAATGAGATGCTCTATGGCAACATAAATAGCTCTTTCTAAATGTTGGATTATGGTTCACTTAGCTTGCTCCACAACTAAGTGTTTATCTCTACCACGTGATTTTTCTACAATTAATTGTGTCTGCGTTTTGAATATGACATTTGTAGTTTCTGCATTCTGAATATAAGACATTAATAGTGTCTATGTTTTGAATATAAGAATTTAATAGTGTCTGAGTTTCGAATATAAGAGACATTAATATTGTCTAAGTTTTGAATATAGGAGGCATTAATATTGTCTAAGTTTTGAATATAAGACATTAATACTGTCTTCATTTTGAATCTAAGACATTAGAAGTGTTTACGTTTAGAATGTAAGACATTAATATTGTCTAAGTTTTGAATATAAGACATTAATAATGTGTGTTTAGAATATAGGGCATTAATAGTGTCTGCGTTTTTCCCAAACTTGTCCCGTAAATAATTCAAAATGGAAAAATGGATCATTTTAACAAACTACAAGAATCAAAGTATATTATTTTAGCAACCAACATTTCTTGAATCATATCATATCCCTTGCAAGGAGTAACATGAAAGTACAGACTATCGAGAAAGCAGTTGCTCAACAAAGAGGATTTGATTGTGAATTTCATGGAATTCAATGCTTGGAGATGAGATTTGCCAGAACCTAATCAAGCCAATGCTACAAAGGGTTGAAAATGTTATTCAAAATAAAGAAGACCCATAGATTATTAAATATTTCGAATTATTTTACGTATAATAAATTATTATATTATCCATTATTCTTTATTTAAAGCTGTTCGGTTGTTTCTATTGATTACTAGTTGCAGGAAATAAGTGAGTCACCTTTTTTGAACAGAGTTTTTCCCTAAATCTCATTTATATCCCAAGTTATAATTATCAGTAGAATACCTTAGGGTGAGTAAATTTTTTACTAGGTGGTCAGGAAGGGGTCTTTATATTAGTAAGATTAGTAATTAGTTTGACCCCAAAAACAAGAGGCGAAAAACTTTTAAGTGAAAAAATCAGGTGAGTCATTTTTATCGAACAGCACTGTACAAAAAGATCAAGAGTGGTAATTTGTGACAATTATCATTTCACAATTAGAAAACTTCTATGCCAAACCCTGTCAAATGTTTCCGAGATGTCCAAATCAGTAGGCCGAACTACACCTGTCGTATCTAAAGCTTGATAGAATTTTTCAGGAATAATCGTGAGTATATCAGCAGTTGACCTAGAGAAGCGAAAGCCATATTCGTTGCCTGAAAGAAGGACTTGCGATGTGAGATGCTTAACCAATTTGATTAGAGTCACGAGAAATTTAAGAAAATGAAGTAGAAGTCTAATAAGTAAAAATATCAGTGTCAGACGGTTTTATGTAGTTCTTAGCTACAAAAGAAGGGGAATTACAACAAGCAGCTAAGCGGGGGGTAGCGATGCATTTATTGTACAGTTTAGAGAAAACAGAGCCAGTTCGGGAGCACATTTAACGACGATTGCAGTGATATCGTCAGGTCTATGTGCTTTCTAGGTATCAGGATTAGAACATGTAACAGAAAACATGCCAAGATATATATACATATAGCTCAGTAGAGACAGTTCTATGTGTAAAGTCAGGCAAGGATACTGCAGCTGAATCAAGATTAAAGACTTTAGAGAATGTATGGGCAAAATAATTTGCTTTATAAGTAGATGATAACAACATAAATTGATTTAAGAGAGGAGGAATAGAAAACCTACTCTTATTTAATGCACTATTAGAGAGCCACCAGTAGTCACGAGAGCCAAAGTCGATAGAAGGTATATAGAGCCTCATTATATCAGCAAAGAAAGTGTTTCGAGGATACGTTCACATTTATCACATGCCGCCACAAATATTTGAGTGTTGTGATCTAAACTGTCACGCTGGTATAGTCGGAAAAATAATTCCTGCGGGCTTTGCAGGCAAAACAGGCAGGTGTAAACAAAACAGTGCTCAATGTAACTTTACAGAGCATAAATTTTATGAATTAACTGATTTAAAATATGGTTTCTTTGTTACACAGGAATTACTGTCTCAAAACAGACGTTAAAAACTTCAAATTTAATTATATAATTAAATTAAAAGTGAATGTCCTCTTTCATCTTAACTTCAGTTTTGAAACATGGTAATTCATGTGTAGCGAAGAAACCATATTTTATATCAGTTATATATATATATATATATATATATATATATATATATATATATATATATGACTGAAACGATTTCTAGGCCACACCAACTAAATACTATTTTTAAAATAGAGAAACATTTTTATCAATCAAAAATTTGGAAACAAAAGCGCCGTCTCGATTAGAAATAGACGATTTAAATTACCTTTCAATTGTCCAAATCGTGCAAGAGCCGAATTGTACAAATATTAGATTATGATTTGAACCGTTGTATCTTAGAAATGATTAACGATATCTTATTTAAATTCTCCGAAGTTTTTATAAAACATTTTTGAGCAATAAGAATGTACAATTACTCTTCAAGCTTAACAGATGAATCGTGATGAAATCAATCATTAAAGAAAATGACATGTTGATCAATAATTAATCAGAGCTAAGAAGGATTAAAATAAAGTATATATATATATATATATATATATATATATATATATATATATATATATATATATATGAAAAGAAAAGTAAGATATATAATCCTGTGTTCTTATTGATATTTTTTTAATTTTTACAAAGCATTGCTCAATATAAATTTACAGAGCATAGATATTATAAAATAACTTATTTTAAAAGGGAACCGTATTTTATATCAGTTAATTTATAATATATATATATATATATATATATATATAAAGTGAACATACAAGTCAACACTTAGAGGCGACAGTCTGTTTCATGCTATATGCAATGGTTAGGTCTGACGATTGCATATAGGATAAAACAGACTGTCGCCTCTAAGTGTTGACTTCTATGTTCACTTTTATATTTACACACGCTCTATCTCTGATACTGAGCACTTTATCCCATAAATATAGCACACCTTAAGACTATATTTCTTCATATATATATATATATATGTGTGTGTGTGTGTGTGCGTGTGTCTGTGTGTGTGTCTCTGTGTGTGTGTATTCTAGTGTCATTTTTCAATTAATTTAAGATGAACATCGCTCTCACTAACCGTCTATTGTTCTCTCCTTCATAAACTTATTTACCGTTCTCTTGATGGTTCTTGGAAGATGGAAGCCAGAGTATGAATGTTGATACCATTACTGAAAGCTTGATATGCTTTTTCCTCAGACCATTGCTCATTTGAAAAATACAGTTGGGCTGACACAAAATGATTTTAACCAGTTCTTTTTCGAGCTGAATACCTGAAAAGACTTTTCAGTGATTCTTGACAAATGGTATGTAGATGTCTAAATATCTAACCGGAAAACCTTAAAAAGAAACCCAATTTGTTTGGTGGTTTTTACATATTAAATATGGTCTAACACGATTTAGACAATTTTAATGTTACGATATATATATATATATATATATATATATATATATATATATATATATATAGGTGTCTCATTTTATATGTCGTGTCTTTTTCTGTTTTGGCCAGCCAAGTTGACAAACATTTTGTTTGTTTTTTATCAATTTCTCTTGTCAAAATTTTGATATCCGTAAAGCTTCTTCATAAATAATATAAGAAACCTCTTTTTCTATTCATTCTTCTTTTACATAAATAAAGGATAATTTTGTCTGACAATTTTGTATATTTTTGGTCAAAATGACATCGTAATCAAGAAAGATTTAAGAGAAGAAATGGGAAGAATATATCTATATTTTATAAATACGCTGCTTACTAAAATTCTTCCCAGTATGTCCATGATGCCTGAGGGATTTCAAGTTTATTGAAGATACGTATAAATATTATTTTGATATATATATATCTTTCTTTGAATAATGGTATTTTAATAGTCGTAATTAGATCTATCTATCTATCTATCTATCTATCTATCTATCTCAGTTTGTTTATTATCTATCTGTTACAGTCTCTTGGATACGAAGTCAGCGGAAATATATAAACGTATATTGAAAATATGTATAAACATAAGTTTAACTGGCATTTCTTTCTTTGAATAATAATCTTTTTTCATAGGTGTAATTAGATCTATCTATGGCTATATGCATATCCTGACGATTTGAAAGAAATATTCAGATATATGATTTGTTTTTACGGTTTATCAACCATTTTGATAATTATTTAAAGCCGAAAAATATTTTTTGGGTTTAAGAATAATTCTTTCTTTTACATTCAAGCTATCTGGGAGAACGAAAGAGAAAACGATCCAAAGAAAAAGAAAACATATCTATCTATCTATCTATCTATTCTACCGCCGATTGTTTATCGAAAAATATCTGTTCAGTCCTGACCTGGATCCGAAATCCACGAAAAAATGGAAGGTGTTATCAAATAGTTGAAAAACAAAGTTTAGGGACAATGAAAAATATTGATAGGTAGCAGGTGGAAAGTGTGTCATTGAATAATAGATCTTTTTTGGGGTAATCTAAGGATATGAAGACAAACCATATCGAAAACTGTCAATTTCCAGAATTGGAAAAAAACCACACAAGATGATGTTCGCTGAAAATGTTTTTTTGAGATAATGATATATTTATTATCGGGCCTTGGCCGGGGAAAAAGTATATATATTTTTATTCGTTCATATATATATATATATAATATATCTTAGGTCATATCCAATTAACGATAAACTGCTTGACAAATACCACGTGTTCAATATATATATCTCATCGTTCATATAAGGGCATTTATATTAACATTTTGTTTTTTATCTTCTCCCCAAAACCAAGATCATGTCCACACCCGACTAAAGACGTCATTGGCTAAGTCTCACATTAGGAGGAATATACCGACCAGGACCTTATTGGCAAAATCACATGACACATGAAGGAGGAGGAAAGATAATCGATCATTCATTGGCCGAATGGTCACGTGACGCACGAGGAGAATTCATTTTATGAGGGGTCGATACGAAGAAGCGGGGGAAGTTGGTACATTCCCTCAGAATCATGGTGATAAAGTATCCATTGAAAGAGTTACCAAAAATGGAAAAGAGGAAAATCCCTAACCAGAAATAAGAAGGGTGGATATGTATTTAGAATTATCGGAGAATCCCCGACGCCAAACAGACCCACCCCAGTTTTGACGGCGTCAATAAAAATCTAAACCCAACCGACAGAAATCAGATCAGCCGTGGACGACAAGCAGATGAGCGCCCAGTGTTGAAACCACGTCAAGATAGCTGACCAAGATTCACGCATGGTTCTGACTCTTCTTCAACCAAGAACATTATTTGAAGAGCGACTTAGAATCAGACCACAGAAATAAGTTTTTTTTCGACTTTCGTCCAAAGACACACCGGATTCTTAGAGACCAGTTTCTCCTTAAAGTTTCTAGTAAAAGCATCGTCCACAATCCACAGAACGGGTCAGATCCTATTACCAGCAAATAGACATAAAAAGTTTTTACCTTTTTCTTTGATACGTTGGACCTTGTGAGTTTTATTTTATTTTCTTTTTATACCTAATAGACTATCACCCCGTTGGACTCAACTTGCATTACGGCTAAACTCCCAGTTTGATCTCGTCAGTCTAAGATCAATTCACAACGTGGGTATCAGACGGAGATCAATTACCCTGGTAACCAGGCGTTGGAAGCGGGTTATCTTTGGTATCAATCTAACCAAAGGGTTAGAACGTCACGTTTGGAGCCGAGAAGCGAACAGCTGACGCCGCGGCGAAGACGTCTATTGGTGCTGTCCGTGACCAGGATATCAGATCCTGGGGAGCCGTGACGTCTGCCGCCGCGACCTATCGAACGACACAGTCGACGCTGCGACTCATGGACGACGTCATATCTATCTATCTATCTCTATCTATCTATCTATCTATCTATCTATCTATCTATCTTTTCATTATATATATATATATATATATATATATATATATATATATATATATATCTCATCTATTCATAATCTATCTCAATCTGCTCATTATATATATATCTATACATTTTATATCTATTCATTATCTATCTATCTATCACTCATTATCGATCTAAGTCTATTCAATGTCTATATATCTATTTTATTCATTATCTATGTATCGATCTATGACAATCTATTCATTTTTGTATGAATATCAGTTCATTCATTATCTATCTATCTATCCTATCTATCTCCTTTATTTCATTATCTATCTATCTATCCATCTGCCATGTTTAATGGATGTTCTTATCAGTTATCTCCTGTAATTTTTATCTATCTATCCTTAACCTGCTCATTGAAATCACACTTTTATCCCAGTCACTGGATCTTAATAATTTTATCCATCTATCTATCTTTCTATGGATATCCTCATCACAGAAATATCTCAGACTCTGCTCATTATCTATCTATCTATCTATCTATCTCATCCTATCATTATATCTGTCTGCTCATCTCTTCATTATCTATCTATCTATCTATCTATCATCTATCTATGTATCTCAGGTTTCAGTTCTTAGCACGGGATAGTGGTGCTGGGTATTTTGGTTTCGGACTGAATATAAAATAATTAGGCTACTGGAGAAGTATTCAATGTATTTCTCTTCTTCATGTAAATAAAGCTGCATATTTTAAAGCTTTAGCATAGAATCCGATGACTAAAAAGGATTTTATTTTGTTGTTATGAATGCGAATAGAAATTTATCAGGTTTTTTTGTTGGTTGAATTCTATTGTGCCTTCGGATTTGTATAGTTCATATAATTTGTTCAGCTAAATCAGTATCACGAGGATATATATCCCATTCTGTACGTAATCTATCTATCTATCTATCTATCTATCTATCTATCTATCTATCTCAGTCTTTTCACTATCTATGTATCTATGTATCTATCTATCTATCTATCAGTCTTTTCACTATCTATGTCTATGTATCTATCTATCTGTCTCTGTCTGTTTTTTTACTATCTATCTATCTCACTCTTTTTACCAATCTATCTATCTATATCTATTTCGGACTTTTCACTATCTATATATCTATGTATCTATCTGTCTCAGTCTTTTCACTATCTATCTATCTATCTATCTATCTGTCTGTCTGTCTTTTTTATCTATCTATATAATTCTCAAAATCTATCTATCTTTCTCAGTCTTTTTTATCTATCGTATAATTCTCAAAATGTGTGTGTGTGTGTGTGTGTGTGTGTGATCTGAAGGCGTTTATGCTTTTCCACAGTTTTCATCCGATTTCTATGATTTTTTTGTTTCATAGACAATTCTTCAGTGCCGGTTTTGAGTCTTAATATTTGGGGAAAATGGATCTCCACTACTTCCTGATTATTATAATTCTCAGCAATGTTTTTATTATTTACTATCTAGTCTTGGATATTGGTGGCCTCTTTAGGGCCAGAAAAGAAAGACAACTGAAGAGGCAGTTAGGTTGAACAAGTATATTGAAATAACAGACATATACAAAGCAAGAGTGATAATAATAAGCAGATTAGAAGTGTACGTCCGAACGGTAGGTTAATAATGCACCTCCATTCCCCAAACCGACTCCAAAATTGAAATAACGAACATAAAGGACTCCTTGGAAATGTTAGTTAGTTTTAAGAGGAGCGTTTACTGTTGTGGCCTGTTTAGGGGCCAGAAAAAAGACACTGAAAGAGGCAGTTAGGTTGAACAAGTATATTGAAATAACAGACATATACAAAATCAAGAGTGATAATAATAAGCAGATTAGAAGTGTACGTCCGAACAGTAGGTTAATACTGCACCTCCAGTCCCGAAACCGACTCCTAAAGGACTCCTTGAGTTAGTATTTATGAGAGGAGCGTTTACTGTTGTGGCCTGTTTAGGGGCCAGAAAAGAAAGACACTGAAGAGGCAGTTAGGTTGAACAAGTATATTGAAATAACAGATATATACAAAGCAAGAGTGATAATAAAAAGCAGATTAGAAGTGTACGTCCGAACGGTAGGTTAATACTGCACCTCCAGTCCCGAAACCGACGCCTAAAAGACTCCTTGAGTTAGTATTTTATGAGAAAAAGAAAGAACACGTTTACTGTTATTGAAATAACAGATATATACCTGTTTAATAAGGATTAAAAGTACCAGAAAAGAAAAACTCCACTAAACCGAAGAGGCAGTTAGGTTTAACAGGAGTATATTGAAATAACAAAAGAAATATACAAAGCAAGGTGAACAATAATGAAGCAGATTAGAAGTGTACGTCCGAACAGTAGGTTAATACTGCATCTCCATTCCCCAAACCGACTCCTAAAGGACTCCTTGAGTTAGTATTTATGAGAGGAGCGTTTACTGTTGTGGCCTGTTTAGGGGCCAGAAAAGAAAGACACTGAAGAGGCAGTTAGGTTGAACAAGTATATTGAAATAACAGACATATACAAAGCAAGAGTGATAATAAAGCAGATTAGAAGTGTACGTCCGAACAGTAGGTTAATACTGCATCTCCATTCCCCAAACCGACTCCTAAAGGACTCCTTGAGTTAGTATTTATGAGAGGAGCGTTTACTGTTGTGGCCTGTTTAGGGCCAGAAAAGAAAGACACTGAAGAGGCAGTTAGGTTGAACAAGTATATTGAAATAACAGATATATACAAAGCAAGATTGATAATAATAAGCAGATTAGAAGTGTACGTCGAACGGTAGGTTAATACTGCATCTCCATTCCCCAAACCGACTCCTAAAGGATCCTTGAGTTAGTATTTATGAGAGGAAACCTGTTTAGGGCCAGAAAAGAAAAGACACTGAAGAAGTTAGTTAGGTTGAAAAGTATATTGAAATAACAGACATATACAAAGCAAGTTAATAATTAAGCAGATTAGAGTTAGTTATTTATATTCTACCTCCAGTCTTTACTGTTCAAAGGACCTGTTAGTAGGGGCCAGAAAAGAAAGACACTGAAGAGGCAGTTAGGTTGAACAAGTATATTGAAATAACAGACATATACAAAGCAAGAGTGATAATAATAAGCAGATTAGAAGTGTACGTCCGAACAGTAGGTTAATACTGCACCTCATTCCCCAAACCGACTCTAAAGGACTCCTTGAGTTAAAGTATTTATGAAGAGGAGCGTTTACTGTTGAAATAACTGTTTAAGAGTGCCAGAAAAGAAAGACACTGAAGAGGCAGTTAGGTTGAACAAGTATATTGAAATAAATAAAGACATATACAAAGCAAGAGTGATAATAATAAGCAGATTAGAAGTGTACGTCCGAACAGTAGGTTAATACTGCATCTCCATTCCCAAAACCGACTCCTAAAAGACTCCTTGAGTTAGTATTTATGAGAGGAGCGTTTACTGTTGTGGCCTGTTTAGGGGCCAGAAAGAAAGACACTGAAGAGGTTAGGTTGAATTAAGTAACAGTATTGAAATAACAACAAAGAGATGAAGATTAGCAGTGTATGTTGTACAAGTATATTGCAATAACATTGAAATAACAGAATATACCTCAGTCCACAAACCGCAAGGACTCCTTGAGTTATTTATAAGGAGATTTAAGTGTTTACGTCCAGAAAAGAAAGACACTGAAGAGGCAGTTAGGTTGAATATATTGAAATCTCATATCCAAAAAGAGGATAATAAAAAAATTAGAAGTGTACTCCGAACGAGGTTAATACTATTTAGTCCTGAAACCGACGGGACTCCTTGAGTTAGTTTATGAGAGAGTTGTTTACTGTTGTGGCCTGTTTAGGGCCAGAAAAGAAAGACACTGAAGAGGCAGTTAGGTTGAACAAGTATATTGAAATAACAGATATATACAAAGCAAGAGTGATAATAATAAGCAGATTAGAAGTGTACGTCCGAACGGTAGGTTAATACTGCACCTCCAGTCCCGAAACCGACGCCTAAAGGACTCCTTGAGTTAGTATTTATGAGAGGAGCGTTTACTGTTGTGGCCTGTTTAGGGGCCAGAAAAGAAAGACACTGAAGAGGCAGTTAGGTTGAACAAGTATATTGAAATAACAGACATATACAAAGCAAGAGTGATAATAATAAGCAGATTAGAAGTGTACGTCCGAACGGTAGGTTAATACTGCACCTCCATTCCCCAAACCGACTCCTAAAGGACTCCTTGAGTTAGTATTTATGAGAGGAGCGTTTACTGTTGTGGCCTGTTTAGGGGCCAGAAAAAAAAAGACACTGAAGAGGCAGTTAGGTTGAACAAGTATATTGAAATAACAGATATATACAAAGCAAGAGTGATAATAATAAGCAGATTAGAAGTGTACGTCCGAACAGTAGGTTAATACTGCATCTCCATTCCCCAAACCGACTCCTAAAGGACTCCTTGAGTTAGTATTTATGAGAGGAGCGTTTACTGTTGTGGCCTGTTTAGGGGCCAAAGAAAAGAAAGACACTGAAGAGGCAGTTAGGTTGAACAAGTATATTGAAAATAACAGATATATACAAAGCAAGAAAGACACTGATAATAATAAGCAGATTAGAAGTGTAATAATAAGTCCGAACAGTCCGAACAGTTAATACTGCATCTCCATTCCCCAAACCGACTCCTAAAGGACTCCTTGAGTTAGTATTTATGAGAGGAGCGTTTACTGTTGTGGCCTGTTTAGGGGCCAGAAAAGAAAGACACTGAAGAGGCAGTTAGGTTGAACAAGTATATTGAAATAACAGATATATACAAAGCAAGAGTGATAATAATAAGCAGATTAGAAGTGTACGTCCGAACAGTAGGTTAATACTGCACCTCTCAGTCCCGAAACCGACCCTAAAGGACTCCACTGAAGAGTTAGTATTTATGAGAGGAGATAATAATAACTGTTGTCCGCCTGTTTAGGGCCAGAAAAGAAAGACACTGAAGAGGCCTTGTTAGGGTTGAACAAGTATATTGAAATAACAGATATATACAAAGCAAGAATGATAATAATAAGCAGATTAGAAATGTAGGTCCGAACAGTAGGTTAATACGTGCATCTCCATTCCCCAAACCGACTCCTAAAGGACTCCTTGAGTTAGTATTTATGAGAGGAGCGTTTACTGTTGTGGCCTGTTTAGGGGCCAGAAAAGAAAGACACTGAAGAGGCAGTTAGGTTGAACAAGTATCTTGAAATAACAGACATATACAAAGCAAGAGTGATACTAATAAGCAGATTAGAAGTGTACGTCCGAACGGTAGGTTAATACTGCACCTCCATTCCCCAAACCGACTCCTAAAGGACTCCTTGAGTTAGTATTTATGAGAGAAGAGGCAGTTAGGTTACAGTTATTGAAATGTCCTGTTTAGGGACCAGAAAAGAAAGACACTGAAGAGGATTAGGTTAAGTTGAACAAGTATATTGCAGATATACAAAACCGACAAGAATGATTGATAATAAGGAGATTTAGAAATGTTTGAGGGGCCAGAAACAGTAGGTTAACTAAGACACCTCCAGTCCTGAAAACAAATATATTTAAAGGACTTTGAGTTAGTACTCCTTGAGTTAGTATTTATACAGAAGCAGAGGAGCAAATAACCGACGCCTATATTTAGGAATCTGTCAGAAAAGAAAGACACTGAAGAGGCAGTTAAAAAGAAAGACAAGTGAAATTGTGTAACAGATATATACAAAGCAAGAGTGATAATAATAAGCAGATTAGAAGTGTACGTCAGAAACTGACAGGTTACCGAACAGTAGGTTAATACTGCACCTCCAGTCCTAAACCGACGAGGACTCCTTGAGTTAGTATTTAAATAGAGGAGCGTTTACTGTTGTGGCCTGTTTAGGGGCCAGAAAAGAAAGACACTGAAGAGGCAGTTAGGTTGAACAAGTATATTGAAATAACAGACATATACAAAGCAAGAGTGATAATAATAAGCAGATTAGAAGTGTACGTCCGAACAGTAGGTTAATATCTCCGTTCACCTCCAGTCCCCAAACCGACATTAGGTAAAGGAGAAAGATTATATGAGTTTGAGTTATTTATGGAGAGGAGCGTTTACTGTTGTGGCCTGTTTAGGGCCAGAAAGAAAGACACTGAAGAGGCAGTTTAGGTTGAACAAGTATATTGAAATAACAGACATATACAAAGCAAGAGTGATAATAATAAGAGATTAGAAGTGTACGTCCGAACGAAGTTAGGCAAAGTTAGTATTTATGAAGATGTTTAAGATTGTAATGTTTAGG